GATTGTATATACACATCACAAGAATCTTGAATACTTCATGTCAACATAAGTATTGAACTGTTGCCAAGCACATTGGAATATGTCTTTATTATGATTTGACTTTTGCATTACATATCAATCTAGGAGCCAACAAGGATTATCACAAGCATTATCAAGATGTCCCTACCTAGAACCAAAAGAAGGTGAAATAGCATATGATCAATAATGGGCAACCTTATTAAAACTTGAGCAATTTCATCTTTGAGCAATTAATATATCAATGCCTAAGGATTTATCATTTCTTGATCAAGTTCATAAAGCTTCAAATATAGACCCTTTTGTTCTTAATATCAAGCATCTTACCAACATCTTTTCTGAAGAGTCTTTTAAATTCAAGTATGAAAATAACCTCTTGTTCTTTGAAGAATGTTTCATTCCCAAAGAACCAACTCACCTATGCGTTCTTCAAATATGCCATAACTTCTCTATAGCCAGATATTTCGGATTCAACAAGACCTTCAAACTTCTATCTAGAGATTTTTGGTGGCCTAAAATATGGAAGGACATTGAAGAATTTGTACTATTATGTGATACTTGTTCAAGGTCAAAGAACCCTCAACATCGACCATATGGACTTCTTTAACCTCTTCCTATTCCAAGACAACCATGGTCATCTATTTCTATGGATTTCATTATAGATCTCTTACCATCAAACTCATTTGACACTATCTTCATAGTTGTTGATCAATTGACCAAAATAGCACATTTTATATTTTGAAAGAAGTCAATTACTAGTGAAGAGACAACAAGACTCTTTATTGACAATGTCTATTATTACCATAGGTTGCTAGATGATATTACATCGGATCGTGGACCACAATTTGTATGAAGGTTTTGGAAGGCACTTTTCAAGATTCTTAAGGTTGACATCAACCTTTTCTCTACTTTCCACTCTCAAATTAATGGCAAAATAGAGTCGATCAATCAAATTCTTATGGAATATTTGAGATGTACCATTAACTATCAACAAGACGATTGGACTTCCTACTTGTCATTGGTAGAGTTTATATATAATAACACAATCTATGTATATATGTAACAAATGTCATTCTATTCAAACTATGGTCATCATCCAAAGTTGGATATGATAGAGCCTTCAAAGTTGACAAATCCAATAGCAGAGGAGTTTGCTACGAAGATGGCCAAAGTTCAAGCAACCATGAAGACTCACATAAAAAAGGCTCAATAACATTATAAGCTCTCAGCAAATGAATTGAGGAAGGAACATCCTCTATTCTAAATTCGTGACAAAGTATGGCTTCTTTGTCGCAATATAAAAACCAACATGCGATGTAATAAGTTGGACTACCGAAGGCTGGGACCATTTGTGATTCAAAAATAAATTAATTATATAACTTATCGCTTGGAATTACCTTCATCTATGAAAATTCATTAAGTCTTTCATATTTTACTTTTAAAAAGATATAAAGAATCGAACATATCAGGTCGAAGACAACCACCACCTCTTATGGTTGAAATCAATGATCATGTTGAATTTGAGGTAGAAGAGGTATTAGTTTCAAGGATAAGACATGGAATGCTTAAATATCTGGTTCATTTGCACGAATATGATATCAATGATGGTACATGGGAACTAGCTGGCAACCTTATAAATGCACAAATGAAGGTTCAAAGGTTCTATCAATAACATCCATCTAGACAAAAAGTGGCAAAATGAAAAATAGTAGCTTAGTAAGATGGCTTCACCATGAAGATTCTTAATTCTTGGCCTCATAAAGAAGGGGAAGAGACAACCTCTGAAGAGATGGTTATTGTCAAATGTTTAAAATAGTATAAGTCAGTAGTTTGAGTTCATGACCATAGTTTGTTTATATTCTTTTGGTCTTATCTATTTTATATAATATGGATAGTCCAGAAATAGATGCCTTACTGTTCATACCATCTTAACCCAGTAGCTTGCGAAGATGACCTAGAGAGGAAGAGCTACCTAAATCACAAAGACGTCAAAGGATATTTAGTAATAGATCATCGGTAGTTGTGTTTGAAGTAGAACCTAACTATGAAGGACATCCAAAAGGAGTGTTTGAATGACAATTCCATAATAAAGATATCAAAGTTCATGCTTAGTCACAAGTAGAAGGCTTTGGGCACTATCGATGGCTATAAGGGCCTATGAACCATTTACCTCGTGAAAAACAACTGGAATATATAATGGACATCAAACAATAGATGTTCAACTTCTTATGCATATACTAGCTTGTTGCAACATTGCTTCCCGAAGACCTTGAAGCTAGAAGAAGAAGTGATGTCACGGACATACAACTGAAGAAGGTTCTAAAAGATTTGAGAAGGTTCCAAAAGGTTCTAGAAGTTTTTAAAAGATTCCAAAACGTACCAATAAATTTTAAGAAGAAGATTCTATGAGGTTCCAAAAGGTTTCAAAAGGTTCCAGTAGATTCTAAGAAAGTTTTAGAATGTCATACGAGGTCTTAGAAGGTTTTAGAAGGCTTTAGATGATTTAGGAAGTTGCTAAAGAAGGATCTTAGGCTTACTTTGTTTTCAAGTCTCATAGAAACTTCTCAAGAAGCTTCTTAGGACCTAGTATATATAGGAATAAAGGTTGAGGGGATCCTCAATCTCGACAATTCACTTCTTGTGGTCAGTCAGGACCTTCTTGCCTTGTATCTAGTAGTTGTTGTAATGTCAAGTTAACTCCATTCTTTGGACTTGAATCCTTGTCTTGTACATGGTCCCTAACAAATACACTGTTATGTCATTTAAAAAAATAGATATTCACTCAAAAATAATATAATATTAAAACTATAATGGTTATTGTTATAGATAAGAAGACTAGAGGCTTTTGAAATAAGATTAAGAATAAAAAAGACATTTACAAGAGTGAAGAGAGCTTCACTCTTGCTTCCATATATACTATCTAACAAAGAGCTATGTTATGACATTTTAATGAATCTTTGATATATGTCCAACTTATAAGATATATAACTAAAGTTTAAGACAAGTTTCCTACATGTGGGCTACATGACCAAGTTATTGGCCAAATTTTTAACTTATTAATCACCTAAAAATACATATAAAGTAATATCTATATTTATAAAGCTTCTATAAAGCCTATACTAAGTTTTTTTTATTAGATATTATAAAATTTACATATTTTTATATATTCTTATATAATTTATTTATATAGATAATTAAAAATATTGATTATATGTGTGACAATATTTAATTAATATAAGAATGAAGTCTCGCTTATTCAAAAATTATTGTTCGCTTTTATTTTTATTTTTATTATTATATTTATTTATATTAATAAATTTAGTATATTTTATAATTAATACTATAAATTAGATTTAATTAAAGAATAAAATTGAAATTATAAAATACTTATATTATTTATTTATAATAAAAATAGAATAATTATATATTTATAAATTAATATTGAATCAATTTCTTTCAACATATTTAAATTAGATACATTTGTAATTTAAAAAAATTAGATTTGATAATTAAATTTTAAATAAAATATAAAATTAATAAATCAAATATTATGTGATTTTTATATGTATATTTTTTAATTGTTTTATAAAAATAATAATAATTATATCACTAGAATTCTTACATTACTCATATTATTATACATAATTAAAATTTTATGGTGAATATATATGAATCTTAATAAAATAAAATTATATAATAAAACAAAATAAAAATTCCAAAAGAATAAAAATAAAATAAATTAAAATTACATAAAACTTTATGTAGATGTTATTATAATATATTGGAAGAAAAAAATTAAAAATATAATATCAACCTTAATATTAATATTATAAGTTTTATTCATTCATTTTTTTCAAAATAATTTATGTATAAAAACTATAATAAATCAATTTAATGAATTTTTTTAAAGTAGTAATATAGCCAATTTACAAAATTAAAAAGATTTAAAGGTGTTAAGATTTAAAAGCTTGTCTATGCTTTAAGTGACTTTCTATCTAAACCATGAAACAAAATTTTGTAATAAAAGGACATCTATATCTATATATATATATATATACACAAATCTTTTACACCAAGAGTAGTGTACAATGTTACGATTTAACAACAACTTATAAAATATGAATGATAAGACTAGTATGCAATGTTAAAATTCAACAACCTCCAATTAATTCGATCTATGCTTACTGTAACTATAGTACTTTCAAATTGTATCATTTAGAAAAAATACACTTATTCTATAAATCATTAAAAAAACGATATAAAAAAAATATTGTACAAGGTTAATAGTGAAAACATACTATATTTACATAATTTATAATTATTTTTGTTCTAAGTTTAAAATGTAATAATAGTATGGATTTAGTTTTTAGATATTGTTTCTCTTAGTGCAAATAATAAAAGAACATTTGGAAGTTAGATTATATATATATATATATATATATATATATGTATATATATTTGTACATATTAATACAAATATCAAAATATCTATTTGCATATGCATATGTATCTATTAAATATAGTATATTACATGTTTATAACAAAAGCTTTAATGATTTCGACAATATTCTATTTTGTAATAAGACTGAAGTGGCAAATTTTTGAAAACTGGCACCTTTAGAAATCTCAGAAAACCAAACATATTTGTCAAATAATACCAAGCATACAAAGGTTATTGATAAAAATCTATTATCACAACAACAAGAATGACAAAAACATATCTCTTTGTCATAAAAAAAAAAAAAAAATGTAACACAACAAAATCATCATGTAGGTAAAGTTCATCTCGCCATACCAACATTATTTAGACAATTTCGGAGGTTGTTGTGAACCAATTGTGATCCCCATTGGTGCCCAATTGAGAAAAAAATGGGGATGAATGGAACTCACACACCCGAGTCATCCACCATAGTTCTTCCACACATAGATGAATGCTCACGGATGAGACCAAAGATGAGACATGAATGAGAAAAGCCTAGGTTTCGTTCCCCTAAACCCTAACGGACGCGGCTAGCAGGGCTCTCACTCTCTCACTCAATCCCTTACGATTCATCGCCATCGCCATCGCCAATCCTAGCTCTCTGGGCACTTCTCGGGGCACGCTATTGTGTTTCTCGGGCCACTACAGCCTCCTTTGCGATCAGTGCTGCAGCCTTCGGTGGTATTTTTTATTTTGATCGACACTTCCACGTCTAACTTTTCTCAGGACTTGGAACTTGTTAGTGAGACCAGGGGAAGGAGCGTGACGACGTCGCCATGTCGGACGACGAGATGAAGGAGGAGAAGGAGCTCGATCTGACTTCTCCCGATGTGGTCACCAAGTACAAATGCGCCGCTGAGGTTGCCAACAGTAAGTACCCGCGCTGCTGATTTTGCTGCAGAGTTTGGATTACTTTAGGGTTTAAGGGAATTGGAGTTTTGGAGTTGTGGTGATTCGTGTTCACTGGCATGTGCATCAGTGTGTGACTGGTACTGGATGCTGTATAATGTTGCATCTGGCGCCTGGATGATCCGGGTTTAACAGGAAGACCTATAGTCTACGGATAGTTACGTTTCAGATTTCGGCATCTCCTTGCATTTGACTCCTTGTTGACACTGGTGGATAGGGAATTTGAGAGAGTGGGAATTGAATAGCGTGGAGATTGGGTATGGTTGAGAACATCTCTGAAGTGAGGGTTCATTTGCTAATTCCATGCAGTAGAGTGGAGGCTGTCTATGGAGAGTAAGATAACGTGTATGTGCAAGTTCTCTTTACGTCCGTCAACGTATGATTTGGATGTTCTTTCGAGGGAGTTATTATTTATTTATCTTGTTATTTCTTCATTGTGGAGATATCCCAATTAGTTGCAAATTGTTTCTACCGTTTGTTTACAGAGGCTTTGCAAGCAGTCCTGGCAGCATGTGCGCCAGGATTCAAGATTGTCGACCTGTGCGAGAAGGGCGACAGCGTGATTCGCGAGTGAGTTGGCCGTGCCTTTCTTCGTTCTCGCGCGGGTTTCCTTACTTCGAAATGGTTAATTGACTGGCCTCCCCTCACCGTTTGAAACTAGACCTTGTGGCTGCGTAGACCCAATTTTATGGCTAGTGCGCTCCAGTTCAATGTGAGCATAGAAATGAGTACCTTCAATTTAATAAATGCCAGCACTTACAATACTCACATGACCTCTCACATCGCCTATTCAGCAACCTCAAGCATTTTAATGGTTAACCCTAAAAGCGCCTTGACGTTGACGATGAAACTTTTGCTGATCAGCAAGGAATCGTGCTGGAAATTGCATGTCTCTGACGCAGGTTCATGAGGAACTTTGTAGAAGCTATGATTCTGAAGGATACTGGTTTGACAGATGTTTCTTTAGTCTATTCCTTAGGCACGTTGGTCGCACCGTTTTTTCCAGTAGTATTAGTTATATTCATCAACTCAATTGATAGGTGTTGTTGCTGTCGTCTGAATTTACGTGTTGAAATTCTTACTGCTGCTAACGGAATTTTACTCGCAGTCTAACAGCAGGTATGTACAAGAACTTTAAAAAGAAAATTGACAGAGGAGTTGCATTTCCCACTTGCGTATCTGTGAACAACACTGTATGTCACTTCTCTCCTTTGGCTGGAGACGAGTCCACTCTCGCGGCAAACGATCTAGTCAAAATGTAAGTGTACTTCAGTTTGGACCCATTTTTTATTTAATTCTGGTTTACAGAAGTAGGTTACTTGAGGATTTTTTCTAGGTTCTCATTCTATTTTTGGAACTAAGAAGATCCCTGTGTGGACTGCGTATCATAGCCTTCAAATACACTGCCTGGTTGGACTTAAATTACTGGAAGATCACTTGGATGGGTTCATGATCATCTCCACTATTTTTATCTGAACTTCATTACAAGGGCTGAGGTTATTGACTTGTTTCCGTTTCAGCGTTCACAATACCTAGTTTCGTTTGCTGTAATGTGCAGACATCTCGGTTGCCACGTCGATGGATTCGTAGCTGTTGTTGCACATACCCATGTGCTTTGTGAAGGACCCATTACAGGTCGTGCAGCAGACGTCCTGGCTGCTGCCCATACAGCTGCAGAGGTTGCACTTCGTCTAGTGAGGCCTGGAAAGAAGGTCAGCACTTGCGTGTACTTCTCGGGTTTGCAGTACTTGGAAAGATCTATCGAGTGCTGAATACTTCTTGAGATCCGTGATTCGTTTCTTGATTAAATTCTTTAAAATACCGTCACTTTCCTATTTCCTCTGCGCAGTTATCTTTCAATTGGTCCTGTATATGATACTTGTCATTAGACAGGCTCTTGGATTAAACTTATTGTGGAACTGTTGTACAGAACAAAGACGTAACGGAAGCCATTCAGAAGGTGGCTGCTGCATACGACTGTAAGATTGCTGAGGGTGTGTTGAGTCATCAAATGAAACAGTTTGTGATCGATGCGAATAAAGTGATTTTGAGTGCTGGTAATGCGGAGACACGCGTAGATGATGCTGAATTTGAGGAAAACGAAGTTTACGCAATTGATATTGTAACAAGCACTGGTGAAGGAAAGGTGAAATTTTCTATTTTGTTCTGTATACTCTGGGTGCAAGAGTTTGTTGTACATTGCTGATTACGTAGAATGTCTTAGTGACCTGAATCGAGGTTTTTTAGGTTAAGGAGTAGTTTGCTGGCAATTTCTATGTCAGAAATTCTGTCAATTCTTTTAATATTTTCAGGAAACATTTGGACCAACATTTTAATATGGTTTATTCTGCCCGGGTTTGGCATCCTGCACGGGTTCTCTGTGCATCGCTAGTCTTTGGTGTCTGTTGATAAACAACGTTGTATTGCAGTGTAGAGTACATTCTCCGCGGTGTTTTATGTCTTTGTTTTCTTGGGGCGGATTTAAGTCCCACTGCAAATGATTGCCTTAGAGGGTCATTGTGACTGAATCTGCCGTAAATGCCATTTAGATTGTGACGTTCTTTTTTGTTGTTACCTTTCTGCTGCAGCCAAAGCTGCTGGACGAGAAGCAGACCACGGTGTACAAGAGGGCTGTGGACAAGAATTACCATCTCAAGATGAAGGCGTCAAGATTCATTTTTAGTGAAATAAACACAAAGTTTCCAATCATGCCTTTCACAGCCAGGTACAACCATGTTCTGTTTTCCAGACAAATACTCCATTTCCGTGTTAGTGCATGAATGTGTGTAAATACTTAACAATGAAAGTCATGAAGAGTGCTGCCTAGGCAAGTGCATCATTCTCACTTGTTAGATAGTATCACTTCTATTTTTTCATTAATATTGATTCATCACGACATCCTCTTTCTGCCTTCTGTTGATTCATATGGCATGTGCTCGGTCTTAATCGTGATTGCTGACTTTTCAGAGCTTTGGAGGAGAAGCGAGCACGTCTTGGTCTTGTGGAGTGTGTGAATCATGAGCTACTTCAGCCGTACCCTGTCCTTCATGAGAAACCTGGTAATTTGCGAGCTTTTGGTGCTCCTTTAGGTCGTCTCCTGTTGAGTGGGTCTATCTGAATGGTTGTCTTTGGATTGCGAAAAGCTGCAGAAATTGTTGATTAGATCCATATACTCTGAGCTTCGAAACTCAGAAAGCGTAGCAACTGCAAAGATAATAATTTATCTCAACCCACAATTCATCCTCGATCATATTTGTTATCACAGATAAACGATTTCTTGTAGGGTTTGCATTTCAGATTGTGTTCCAAAAAAATCAAATTTGAAGCTGAGTTTTTTTTTGGCAGGTGACTTTGTAGCCCACATTCAGTTCACAGTATTGCTCATGCCTAATGGCTCCGACAAAATTACTGGACTTCCACTTCAGGCATTAGAACCTACCAAGGTTCCGGAAGACCCTGAAATCAAGGCCTGGTTAGCGTTGGGTACCAAGTCCAAGAAAAAGGGCGGTGGCAAGAAGAAGAAAGGTGAAACCTCCGATTGTAGTTTGAACACGGGGTGGAGTGGATATTGTTATTGACATTTCATAGCCTCGTGATCAATTAATAGTTACAAAAATTTTGGAGCTCCAAAATTTTCGTAATTATTATTTGATATTAATCTTGGTCAGTTTGTATGCATTATGTCCATGTATATCTGATCGGTTTTTGATGTGCAGGTAAGAAAGGTGATGCCATGATTGAGGATACTCCTGAGGCTACTGCTGAGCCAGTCGCGGAAGGCGCCAGTGCCTAGATCGCGGCGAAGATAGACACGCCCTCTTAGTGCAGAGTAAAGTGAGCGAACGAGAGTTACACCAGGTGCTCTTAGTTTTGCACCATTTCAGTTTTGCATGCGACTTTAGCAGTAATATTATTGGGTAACAAGAGAACATTGAATATGTTTACTCAGCAATGCCGTTGCTTGCTCAATTTTCTCTCTCAATTCTCTCACACCATCCTGAAAAGGTTCTGCGTGTAAATACCATGGAAGATGAATGACTGAAAAACATACAAGCTCGTCGTTTGTTTAAGAATATTACACCTCGTACGCCTCAGTGCAAGCTGCTCCATCTCTTGGCTGCAATACCGAAGACGTGTACGAGCCCGTTCTTATGACCGCACCTGCCAACGACCTGCCAACGAACTCCACTTGTCAGTCAGCAAGCAATACTCGACGAGGCTGTGGAAACGGAAACATTAGTCCTTTCATGCCTTGCCCTGGAGTCGAGTGCCTTTCTTCGTCGCGTCACCCTCGCCACTCTGCTTGAGATAAGTTCTAAAGGCGCAACCTCAAATCTTCGAGAGTCTAGGTGCCTGTGAGAGTAGTTCATTTGCTTTAGGGTGCCGGGCTAATAATGCAAAGGTCTTAGGTACGGAAACTGTACGAGGCGCACTTACATCTTCCTTTAGTTGCACGTGCATGCTTTGCAGTGTCTTTTGATACATTTTGTTTATGATAAGTGTATATGGCTTTTTTCTAATACTGTCAGCAACATCTAAAGTAGATGCAAAAGACATGCACTTTTCAAACATGTACTCATGGATTGTGAATAAAAGCATTGTATAGGGTAGACGACTCATTTCCAATAACTTAAGTATTTCAGCATTTTTGCAATAAGTGTAAAAGTTTTTGAAAAAAACTAATACCCCCAAAAAGAGAAATAGGAAACAGGTGGATTGCAAGTGTTTTTTATGCAATTTGGTCCAACAACGGATTTTTATAAAAGTTTTAGCTGAAGATTCTCTTGATCCAATTTCGTCACACAAGCTATCCTAATTCCATCCAATGGTGGATTACATAATCAAGAATCTTCCTTTTAAAAAATTAAAAATTTTGTTACTTAATTATGCTATCAAGCTTCACCTATTTCTATCTATGGATAATATGTGAATGAAGCAACTAAAATTCAAACATTTGAATGTAAGTAATCCACCATTTTCATGTGGGATTTTTGTCACCATTCTTTTTTGTTTTTGTTCATCTCCAAACTCTTTCACATCTATCTTCTAGCCCTACTCCAATGGCTTCTTTAAGATCTTTCTTTGCTATGGGATTGTATAAGCCACTTGTAAGGTATCAAAATGTATTGCAAACATGTGATGTTGAGGTAGATAGGTAATCATTGAAATTGTAACATAAATTGTATAAGAAGAATATAATTCTAAAATGGATTTCCAAACAAGAAATGAGAGATGTTCATGAGCTTTAAACCATATGGTAGAGTGTGGTGAAATGCAAATTGATCACATTGTGTATACCTATAGAGAGGCTAGTTACGAGCACAGCAATAGCAAATTCTGTTGCCCTTCTATAATACATGTTAGAATATTAGCACCTACAATCCCAACTCCTCTCTACAACCTCCTCGTAGTGCCAACCAAGCTCAACAATGTGCTTGCAATAGTGACACTTTCAATGATCCCCTTGCAATCTGCAGTACATGTGTCTCTACATGTAGGGCTATGCCCACAAGGCTCAATATTGTGTATTGAGCTCCATGCTCATACACATTGCAATTTTGTGCAAAACTTCTTACTTAGGTGCCTTATACACACATTTTTTTTTTTATTATAGCATTGTGCTCTAGAGCCTTGCAAGTGCTCTCTTTTGTGGCAACCTCTTGTTCAACAACCTTGCTGGCTCATTTTTCTGCTACTATAACATGATGAATTTCTCTTAAAATCTTCTTCTCTCCAAGATCCATTAAGTTTTTTGCTTTTCAATTCTTTGGATTAAATTTGTGCTCTTTCATTCTTTTATTTTTATTCAAGATTTTGTTCTTGGATTTGCTATATAATGTTCAAATATGCCTTTGAAGTTAGTATTAATGATTTACAAAAATTCACTATAGGATTCACATTGCATCTTCTTAAATTACTCCTTTTTGTAATAGTAGGCAATATTAGAGAGTGAGATATGGATTTGGGGTTACGACATACAAGATCTAATCCGCCAACTCCAAATCCAATATATCTACATGAGCAAAAAAAAAGTTTAGTGATAGAATTCAAGATCAGCTCCAAGTTTGGTGTAATGTCATGAACTAAAAAGGTAGCAATATCTTTACCAACCAACTCCATGCATCTCCCTTCATTTTCTATAAAATTCTCAAATAAGTCATTTTCACCTTGTCTAACTTGTTCTAAAGATTGTATGTAGGTTTTGCTTGGGTCCATGTGAATGTCCATTTTTATTTTGTCAAGTAAGAAGACTCTAATAGAATTAAAGCCATAGGTGATATTATTCATTGACAAAGCCTATTTTAAACTCAAAGACATCTATTGCACAAGAATTTATTTTTTATTTAAGTTGGTTTAGATTTCTAAATATCCAATAATCTTAGTATTCTTTAAAATGAATCTTAAATGGTCCAAATATACATATATTTAAATGGTGCATTACATGCAATGTGTAAGATAATAAGGTTAGAATATACAATCTTGTATCTTGTGCTAGTTTTGTCACTTTAATAGTAATGTAGCTTGTATATCCATCAACAATCAACAAATATCTCAAAGTAGGAGAAATGCCATTAAAATATCTTATACACATAATAAAATAAGAAATCTATGCTAAAAATAAAAAAAATGGTTCTTCAAGCCTTAACTTGTATTATCATAGTCACACTTGTCTTATACTATTTTATATAGTTTTATTGAAAATATTACTTTCTAAAAATATAAAAAGATGATATGCCTACTTTTGTTGCATTAATGCAAACTTATACTAATATCCATTCTTTTTTATCTAAAATGATAAAAAAATACTCAATGATCATTTTTTTAAGCTATGATAAGTGCGGCAACATTTTTTTTTCTTTGCACACCAAACTTATTATAGTTCTACAATCTATCTAGAATATCCTTATACAATGTATTTAAATCACTTAAATTATCATAAAAGCTTTGCACATATTCTTTACATATTGTCTTTTTTCTAGAATACAAGGGCTTGTGCCACCCTCACTATGTGCTCTAGGTGATTGTTTTTAAATCATTTCAATCATTTGTCAACAATAATTATGTTTTTGAATGGTGTGCATTAGGTCCTAGTTATTTCAACAACCTTCATTTTCAAAGTTGTAGTTGTCAGACCTAGGATCTTGTTGTACATAGCTAAAATGTACTTCATAAGATTTCTTTCTTCTTTTCCAATTAACACCCTTTAAACTCTCATTTTCTTTTATGTTTATATTTTAAAATACCAATCTTTAAAAGTTGCATATGGAATATTATAATTTATCACTACTTTTTTTATGCTTCTATACTTTTTATATTTTGAAAATATTACTCTTATTTATTTATCATTCCATAAAAAAATCTCTATCTTGATACTATTATTATAGTATTATTTTGATGGTAATAATTGTGATTACTAGTTCCTAACATGTCATAAAGATGTTGAAATGCTTGTCATGTCTTCTATGTTGAGATTGCTAAAGAGCAACACTTTCTTCTTTAACCTCACTCTTGTCTTGTTCACAACTTTGCCTAAGTTATTTCTCTCCTTGCCTCTTTTTAATCACATTGCCTACACTTCTTTGGCCAACTTTGCCACCTCTAAAAATTCTCTTTATCTACAAATACAAAATCTTGAAAGATTCATACTTATTAATTTGAAACTTGATAAGAGAGTTTGGTTCACTTCTACTACTACATTGATCATGTTTATGTTTACTAGTGTTGGAGTTAAATTCCAATTACTTTTTTTGACTTAGAAATTTATTACTAGCTCTTAAAACTTCTATTTTAATTCAATCAGCAAATTGTTGCAAATCTTAGAAATCCTAATTATTCTTCTTAACTTTAATTCTTGAGATTCCAATACTTTGAAATTAAATAACCTTTAAATGAACTATTTAATCAAGCTTAAACTTACAAAAAAGATTCAACATAATAAAAAATATCCAATCACAAACTTTTAGTCATAAATCATCTATTAATTTCACATAATTTTTTAAAATATGATTTTTTTTATATTTCTCAAAGCCTAAAGTCATTCCAAAACAACTTAACTTTGCAAAGGCCTTATAATATGAATACAAACTCAAATCACTCAAAACTAATGTCTAAAAAACCTATCTCTAGTTTACTTTCAAATCTTATTCTTTAATTAATGAAAGAATCTCACAATTGCCCTAGCTATACAATTTTGAATCTTAAGATTTATTTTTTGACCTTGATTCACAACCAATCTTCTCCACATATTAATTTTTAGTTTTTTAAAGTAATTTTTGCTACAAATTAATCTTAATTCTTTCTTAAAGATACTTGTATTATTTTTTATCTACTTTAATTTATTTTTTTATAGCTTACTAAAGAAAATAGAAGCTTATTTTATAAATATATAGTATTAGTATTCTAAATTTAAAAAATATTTATTTAAATACAAAAATTCATCCAAATACAAAATCTCTTCATTCAGATACAAAAATTCTACTTCAAAATTCTAAAATTCTAAAAATTTCAAACTTAGACTTAAAAATATTCTATAATTTTATAGAATAGATATTAGTTCGTTTTTGTAAGATATTGATAAAATAGACTAATAGTCCATAGAATAGTCAATTCATGAGGACGGATGGTTAAATCAGTTATTAAAAGCGGTTATTATAGGTTTACAATTAGAATCTGGAAATCAATAGCAATTATATAGGATTTGTAGAAGTTTGTTTGAGGGGCCAGACTGCGATAGCCATAAGCCAGAGTTAAGCTTGGTGCTACCTCTTTGTTTTCTTTGTTTTCTTTGTTGTTGAAGAATAATGGATAGTTTTTGAATACTGAGAAGTAAGTCTATGGAATAAATCAGAGATTGATTTATGAGTTATTGATTATATAATTGGAGTATTATGTGATTGAATTATATGAGAAGTTATTGGAAGATTGATTATGATTGGAAGATTATGATTGTTGTTTATCGAGAGTTGTGTGTGTTTTAGACATAGGAAGTCTG